TTTTTTTTTTTTTTTTTTTTTTTTTTTTTTTTTTTTTTTTTTTTTTAATTTAAACAAGTGTTAAATAAACACTTGTTCTGCTCAGGCACCACTTTAGGTACAACCTGAGGGCAGCATGAATAACTTAGAGCAGCAGAGGACCGAATACACCAGAGTATAGCTTAGCATGTGGCAGAGATAAAATGGAATCAGAGCCTGGATAAAAGATGGCATTAGCAGACTCCAACAACAATGCCACACATTGTTTGTGTTGCCACCTTGAGTCATGACACCACGATGAAGTGCAAAGCGTGACCCTCTCTGGAATGCTGAGAAGCATCACACAAGTGTGTCATTCTCCAAGTTTTGCTCAGAACATCGGTTATGGACACGTTCTTTGAGAAACTGAAAATGTGTGGTTTGACCTTTGCACATAAGACAGCCCTGTGCTTTGCATCCTGTCTCTAAAGACTTAATCTCAGGGTAAGAGAATAATATGTTATCAAATACAGAAACCATGGTGATGGCTGTACTTCCAGAAACCTGAATGGTTTTTCCAATTATGGAAGGAGCTGTGAAGTGTCATCTTGGCCACTAGAGCTCTCCTACCCATCATACAGATGTTCACAGCTTTCATCATGCTGTGAAATACACATCAAAATAGAAGCCTAATTAACACCTCTGTTAAAAGTCTGCAAAAAGTGACTCACCGGTGTTATGCTGTGAGCAGCAATAAATGGATTCCTTGGACAGCGATGTCATTCACACATGCACCCATGTCAGCCCTTGTAAAGGTGCACATTATCAAGAGAATTAGTCAGGGCAGAACTGAGACATATGATTTTCCAGACTCCAAAGCAGATTATAACCTAATGATTACTTTCACAACACAGTTAAGACACACAAACAAAAGTTGTTCTGAAAGGACGCTTCAGTTATTAGCTGTTCATGGCAATCTGAATACACAAGGACAACCAGAGGAAGAAAAGGGAGAGGTTTATATTTTTTTTAAAATAAACTTTTAATGTGCTATATAGGCATCATTGCTACAAAATCTTCCACCTAAATGCAATACCACACACTGTTACCACACTGCATTTTCACTGTACATTAAAAAATCTGGGAAGAATATTCCTTCACTGGAAAAATATCATACAATCACTTAAATAAACAAAGACAACATTACAGTGCAAACAAAATCCTGGTTTTATTTATTCTGCAATTACTGAGTACTTTCTAAAAGTCTTTTAGAAAAATAATAAAAAACCTTCCCATGGACAACCAATACTTTTGAGATGATTTCCTCTTGCTGAACCAAGAACCTTGATCTGATCCTTGAAGCTGTAATAAGCTGTATACACACTTGTATGAAGCAATGGATCCCAACCCAAAATTTGCAGACAGCAATAAAATGGCACCTGCTGGCTTCATTTGACTTTTGATCAGACCCCTGACAAGACAGGTCTGATGCAATAGTTATCCCCATGAATTAAAGACAAAGTGCTTAAGGAAGCCAGGCAAGGCCTTGGTTAACAATGCTGTTGGTTTCTACTTGTAACTGCTGTTCGACAGAGTAGGGGCATACTCTTTTTTCCTTTAAAGAAGAAGAAAAGCAGACCATGGAACAGAAACAATGCCAGATTCAACGTGCAAAAGAAGAAATATGACACGTTTCTGCCCCAAGGGCGTGATAGGGTGCTAGAGCCCACAAAGGCAAAGACTCAGAGAAATGGCGCCTGATTCCTAATCTGCGTGAGCTCTGCCCCCTTCGTAAACTCCTACTCTGATGAGAGAATATGCTAACTTAAAAGTGCCTGTATGCTCTTGTCAAGTGGGTGATGTTAAGACAATAAAGAGTTCTGCAAAGACTTTAGAGAAATAAAACAAGCATGTAAGTGAGTACATGAAAAAGGGGGTGTTTGGTTTCACTTGGAGAAGGCTGTTGTCTCTTTGTTCTCCATTGTGTCACCCTTCTCTTGGAAAAACAGAAAACCTATTCCAATGCAGCTTCAGATTCTGGGTGAGACAGGGACAGCCTGACCCACTACTGCTGCTGCACAGAATGACACTGGGTTCTTCCCATATGAGTGATCCACTCCTGTTCAATCTGCATTGGATGTCACATAAAGAATAAGGCAGGCTTAAAAGGAAACAGAACATTTAGCACCTGTGATATTATATGGGTCATCCTTGAGATTCTTATCAGATAAGACAATACAATGAAGCACTACTTTTACAGGCAGTAAGTGGTTATTCCATTAGAATTTTCAGATTTGCACTTCTTTCTAAGCATACATAAAAAAATAGTAGTAGCTAAGAAAGCTGAATTAAATAGCACACAATTTCACAGTCCTATTGCAGTCTGTAAAATACATAACCTGCATATAACCAGTTTGCTACTATAACAGTTGATGGGTTAATGCACGACATTCTAGACATATGTGGGAGATGGTACAACACAAGGACTATAAGGCTATTGATTCCCCAGTTCCAACTTGTGCACAATTATAATTTTTCACTTTTCTCATTGAAAATGAGCACACAGAGCACGCAGAAAATATGTTTCAAGTGGATGGGCAACGAGCTGGCAGAACTAAGACACAGAGCAGCTCTACAGTACTTCTGGCTCACAGTGACTGAAACACAGCAGGAGGCTTCTGCTCATGGTGAAAAAAGAAACACTGGCCAGAAGGTATGTGTCAAAGGGGCTGTGTTTTAAGAATGGTTTGGTAGACCAGAAAAACAAATTTTGCTCTGCTACATACCACAGTTCTCACAGCTGCAAAAGCCATCTCGAGGAAAGGCAGCGTGACAAACACGTTAGTCTGCTACGTCAGTAGGACACCTCTTTGATCCAAATGAATGAGCAAGTGAAGATTTTGCCTACTAAAGCTTTATAAAAGCCTTTGACCACCCTCATGCAAAAATACTAACCCACATATCAAATTGACTTATCCTAACTACTTAGAACATTATGATGTAACTGCCCCAAACAGAATTAGCTGCCTGTACCTATGAATGAAACTTGCAAATGAAGACAGTAAACATTAAGAGATTATTGTACCAAAAAGGATAAAAATATATAACTACTGTTTAATTACATCCCCTATTCATAAGTAATTGACCATGATTCACTCTCACAAAATTACTTTAAGATTGTGTGTCTTTAAGGAGTTCAACATCTGACTACCCCAAGAAACTGCACTAAAAAATCCCAAACCCATCAATCTAAGTGACCAGAGCCAGAGACTTGTCTGCTAAGCAGCTCTTCTCAGGTCCATCAAGAACATGTTAGGATCCCTCAGAGTAAGGTTACTCTTTCTCATGGGGAAGTTTCTCAGGGTAGCAAGAGAATAGGTGGTGTTGGTTTTTTACTGCTGAGAAGATCTTGTTAGTTCTTCTCAAAACACAATGAAACAACTTTTGTTGGGAAGCACTTTCGTTCACATAGAAGGTCTGGGAAGGTTATCTGCTCTCCTTGCACTAAAATAAGTTTTCTTTCTCTTATGTAGCAACACAGTTCTAGAGGCATGCTTCAGCACAAGAGTATCATATACACAGTCCCATATACAACTCTGCAGAGTCCACATTCACAAGACTAAACGTTGCCACTCTCCCTCATAGACTCAAACTCTGAATTCTGGCAATGAATTCAGTGCAACCCATCTTACCTCTCACCTCCCATCCACAGGAAGGGGTGAGACAAGGTTATTAGAGTGTCCGCACAGCCACAGGGTAGAGCAAGGACAAGTGCTCTGCTCCTTTGATAGGCAGCTTTTTTGTGGTGTAGTAGTGGATGACTTCAGGAACACTGTCAAAGGGAGGGCTGTTCTGGCCCAGGATGTATTTCTCTTTGGTTTTCATCAGTTTCATATGCATAAAACCTTGACTGCTCCTGCAAGGAAAGCAAAGTGTTAGTTCATGCTTGTGCATAGGGAAGCAGCACCATGACAGGCTCTCCTCATGATGTAGGGGGATGTAGGAGAACAAAATGCAAGCTGGTTGACAGACCAAGACAGTGGCCTGCTAGCTCCAAATCCCCGTGGACAGTCCAACACAAAGGCAGGCTAAGGCAGTATTTTGTTCTCAGCACCTATGCTGCCTGGATCCAAGTGCAAGGCTGTCTCATCCTGGAATTGATCTGGATGTGTGCCAGAAGACAATCCCTTTCCTCACCCATGCCTCATCCCCCTCCCAGCCCCATCAATGCTTTCCTGAGAACACTTACTTTCACTATAGCTAATCATTACTTCTGGACCCAAATACATCATTGGTGTTGGCCTGTCAGAGGCTTGAGGGTCCCGTCATGGACACAAACTGGCCAAGAGCCTCTCTCAGCTGAGGCAAGACCTGTCCTGTCCTATCCTATAGAGGCCTCAGGCCTTACCCATCCCACCCTGGCAACAAGTGCCCAGAACATCTCTCTGTGCATAATCTGGTGGTTTCAGCTGGGAAAACTTCCCTAGATAAGCAGAATGTTGCACTGTTCTGAGCACAGGCTGCTATCCTTCAGTCTTTCTGCAGGCAGAAACCGTGGTGTGACTTCCACAGCAGAAGCAATCAATTCCTGGATAGCTATCCTGCCTGCACAGTGCACTGTCACTCTGAGGGAAGGTTCATGATTACACAGGCAAGAGAGACATGGCAACTGCCCTGCCTGCTCCTGCCAATGCAACCATCCAACACAATGCCACGCTGATGGGTAGAAAGAACCCACCCTGCTGTACAGTACAGTAGGTGGTAAAGCTGACCTAACTCTTCCCAGAAGTGGTCCTTCAGTGTCTGCTGCCTTCAGCACGACATACAGGCTACTTTTAGAGTGAAGAGTTTAGCCAGGACAACACAAGAGCAAAGAGCAGCTCCTGAACTGCAATATGTTAAATGAGGCCCAGAGAGTTTTTACAGCTTGCTTGATGTCCCCCAATCCCTAACTTTCTCGCTCCAAGCCATTGTTTCTTCAAAGTGTGTCCAGGGGCAAAGGCAATAGAGTTAAAATTGGAGTAGGTCTATGTCAGCAAAACTCCCACAGTTTAAGATGACACAGAAAGCTACAAGAGGAAAACAAATCACGCCCTGTTAAAAACAGCTTATCTAAAATCTGCCATTTTCTAGTTAGCAGGTGCAGCATTCCCTCTGGAAATGCCTGTAGCGTAACCAAGTTCGTATCTTTCAGATGTATTCAACAATTCTCTGATGAAGTAAACCTTCCTAGGGGGTAGAAAACACAGCAGGCACTGTAATTATAGCTCTACATGCTTAAAATCTTGCTTTAAATATCAATTTCTTAGTGGAAAAATATATCCCTCAAGTCATAACTGCTCTCTAAATTATTTCCCTTAAATCAGAGTGACTTATCTTTAAATACTTATTATGAGGACAGAGGTATTGTTTTTTTTTCTCGAGTTCCCTATGCATCTGCTTTGCTACAACAGCCTTAAAAGTGTGCAGATAAATCAGTGGAATTGCAGGTGCATGCTAAGTTTAGAAGTATAGCAAGGACTAGAGAACAAAAGTGCACTTTAGTGCAGAAAGTGCAAAGACACTTTCTGCCCCTTTTAAAACAGGAAGACAATGCATCTAATGTAAATAAACTGCTACAGGCCATCTATTCATGACAGATAGCTATTGCTTCTCTAAGAGTACCCACAGTCAATGAGCTTACACTGTATGATGCCTGTGACTACCAAAATTACACAAATGAAAAAAAAAAACACACCTCTGGCATATCAGAACAGATCAGCCTTTTGGAAGACCACACTGATTGTGAAGATGAGTAAAAGAGAATGTGACATTTGTCTCATTTAGCCATTGAACGCTGACTGCCTAAGACTAACAAAGCTCAAAATTTTATTTGCACGCAGCTTTTCTGTTAAAGCCAACTGCTAACCAGGATCTCTGTGGAATATCCCAGATGATTAAACTACCAACTGGCCACGTGCAGATGAAAAACTGTGAAGTTGTCTTCACCCAGTTACTCAGTCACCTTCATTCTCATCTCCTCTGATTATTCAGTGCTCGTATTTTCTTTTCAAGACAGTATGTTGGTAAACTGTGAGGAAATGGATGGCCACCTAACCTAGCATTTTGATTGCTGAGAAGCAGTTATTTCCCACCTGCATACTGCTTCATGTCCTACCCGCTTTGTATCTTCCCCACTTCAGCAAATGTGGTGTTTTGCCAGCTTTTACAGTTAGAGCAGATTAAAACCTAGAGTTTCCCTTTTGTGGGTCTTAGTATTATTTTGTGTCAAATATTTTCCTACTTCACTCCCTTTCTTTTAGCTTCCAAAAACTACACTGTGAATCCATCTAACTTCCTTGTTCCAAGTGAACTGATCCATCACTAGCTGCAAGTAGAAATATCAAACCAGACAATTCTTATTTTCTAGAATGAAGGACAAATGAAGTTGGAAGAAAGTCAGCTTAGCACCTTGAAACTATGCTCTTGAATTAAACACTTCCAACTGTGTAAGATTTGAAAAAACTGTTCACATCTACACTAAGGATTCTTCTCTGCTGTTTCCCCTTCTCTATTTGTCCCTGTGTCACAGAGTCCCCTCTTCTGGCACGCCTGGACTCAGAGAATCAGTGCCTTTAGTAACTTGCAACGGCAGAAAGCATCTACACTTGATTAACAGTACTGCTGCTGCTAGACCAGTGACTAGGATTAAAGGGACAGTGCTAGAAAGGAACTTGGAAGTCATACTGTCCCCTCTTCCTTTCCTCCAAACTCTTTTGATTTTAGTATGCAAAGAGATTACTGAAATTTCAGGTAGCAATGGGGGAAAAAGCCTCATGGTTGAACTGGTTGTAAATCAGTTTCTGCTTAGGTCTCGAAGCACTGTTGGAGTCTACCTGAACAAGTGCCTGACAGTGAGAAGTCCAGGTTTTGGAGTGCTGATTTCTCAGTTCTTTCAACAGCAATACCTATTAGAACCTGCCAGGCCCAAGGTTTTCAAAGAAGAGAACCTACATGACAATCCTAAATTCACATACGTGAACACAGATGAAAGGCAGCACCTTGAAGAGATGAGAGAGACACGTTTTGCAAGAGAAGATGCTGCGACCTGACTTAAGACATGATATTGTTGCTATGTGAATTCTGACTGTCAGTGTGGTTTCTCAAATGTTGCAACTTTTAGTTCAATTTGAGGGAAAACACTGATAAAACACTGTTACTGCTCTTCCTTTCTACTTTATTCTCTCTCTCCTTTTCCTTTCTGCAATCATTCCCAAGAGTTTCAAATACAGAAGAAGAAAATTGCTAGTTGTTAATCCCTGCACCAAGTTGCTTTGGAACTCTCAAGCACAGATGTTTACACTGACACAATACTTGATATATGACTAATAGTCACACCTTGTTTAAAATGTTTGGCAACAGAACCATAAAACCAACTGACTTTGAATTACAACTTTCCCACACATTTTCCTTCAGTTTTCAAAACCCAGTGAGGATGGGAAAGGAATTGTGCAGACAGCTAAACAGACTGTGGGGTTTTTTTTGATCTTATGCCTGAAGTGTGATAAAAGAACATTACATAAATATTAATTAGATATTAAACCTAGTATTTTTTTTTCCAGAAAATGTTAATGGCTTTGAAACATCATTTATGTTCACAATCACAAAGTTTGGCCTGCCTTCTGAACACTATCTTTGCTGAAGAAAGTGCTGTTTTGTCAGAACAGATTTTCTGCATTCATTTTGATGAACTGTCACTTGAATGAGGAAAAAGAAGCAACAGCTTTGCAGTAACATCAGAAAAAAACACATTCTAGCAATGTAGGAAATACATATTGTGTTGTTTCTCCATTCTGAAATGCTTTTCCAATTCATGATTTTAATTTATGTTACATGCTGTCACTTTGAACAAAACCTATAATGTTTCATATCAATCAACAGCAACAAAGAAATAACTTAAAAACCTCCTCTGAAAAATAAAACCTCACTTTTTCCCCCCAGATGAAAAGAACTTTGAAAAATCCTTTACTGGAGGCAGTCAAAGGCTGGCCTGTCTACTGCCTTTTCTGTTTCAGCTCTGCTTCTTCAAGCACAGAATACACAATGCCATCATTCTACATCTGGTAGACACTGTCTCCATGGCAAAATAAACAGTGTCTCTTCCCCTACAAGCAAGTGCTGGTAGTGTTCATTTGCACCCAAGATGTGAAGGTCACTTTATTGAGCCCAGGCTCCATTCCACCTGTGGCTTTGAAGGCAGTGAGGATGTTTAATTTGTTGGCACTCCGTAGAAGTGACAGAATCCTTGCTGTCCACTAACAGCCTCCTGGATATTACCTATCAGTACTATTTAGGCTGAAAGCAGAGTAGTAATACACTTTTAAATATTTTTATTCGATTGCCAATTCAGAGAGGCATCAAAAATCCCATCACCTCTTTACAAATTATACTGACAGGAAGAAACTTGTCATTTTTACAATATCACAAGAGTTACTTAAAAGAACATACTGTGTGTTTTAACTCAACTCAAAGGTACAAGTCCAGCATTCATCCAAAACCCAGAACTACCCAAAGTCTACATACTCAACTTTGGAAAACAGGACCACTTCCACAGATCATGGCGACAGAAAAAACTTTGCTTGCTGTTCCCTTTGCTATTCAGAGAAACCACATGCCTGCTTATGAGTCCACAGGATGACGATGTCACTGACACCATCCCCTCTGAATTCAGTTCTGTAATTCCAGGGGCTGTGATTGTGCCGAAAGAATGTGACAGAGCAGAAAGCAATGTCCATTACTGTTTTCACTCGGTTTGGTGAGATAATCGTAACCTAAAGTTAAGAATTATCACATTTCACAAAATTGAAATGTCAGTTGGGAAATTCAGTGGTGCAGGATGGTGCACACCGCTGCCAAGAGCCTTGGGAAGGGGAAATCCTGACTGAAAGGATTAGCTGATAGAGCTGATAGCTGATCTTCACTGAGCAAGAATGAAACATTATAACCCTGTCCTGAGGCCCTGTTCTATTGTTACATTAGAAAGTTGCCTCTGAGAGCTTGATGTGCAGTGAAGTAATTGCTTAAAACCTAAAACACTTAACTTAGGTAAGAAATAGTTCTCCCTCTTCCCTTTGCATATCTACTTCCAGCTTGATAGTGAAGAACAGGTCTAAGACAAAGAAATCACAACTAGGAGTTTCAATGTGATTCCTGGTCACAGAGTTACCAGGAAAAAGGTTCTCCAGTTTTTACCAAGCCTTGTGCAATTAAAACTGGGTTTAAGGAAAGAGTGGGTGGGTGTAAATGAGCCAAACATCTCCAACTCTGAAGAAATACAGAGAAGAGGAAAGACAGGGAACAACGCAGCAATGCAGGGCTGACGGAGGAGGTACAAGAGAATATACAGCTGCCCCTCAGGCCTTTGGGATCATTTTGTTCCGGGAAGGTAGATCGTACTCTTTCCCTGCTCTGCTATGGAGAATTTAAACAATACTGACAAGGAGGCTCAGCTCTCTCACAGTCCGCAGAAGGATGCTTTCGGCTTCAAACACTTGCCATCAACAATAATAATTACTTGTTTCTGACATGAGCAACACATGAATGTGCACATCAAAAATACCTTCTTTGATGCCTGCAGAGATAGCCAATCCACATGCAATGAAATGTCCCTGGGTAAACTACAGTATCTCAAAATGACAGACACTGGCATGAGCAACTTCAACTACCTCAATGGTTGTTTTATTTACAGATGCATTTTAATTTGGTAATGAGGTTATTTTGATGCCCATTTCATTATATTTGGAATGATAATTTTTGGAATTTGAATCAGATAAATATCTCACACAGGTTCCTCATGCAAGTTAAACCTGTCTGGGCCTCTCAAAGTCAACAGAACATAGAAAAGTTTCCTGCTATAGGAAAAGAAAGTCTTCAGAGATGTCTCCATTGATCAATACTCAGTTATAGCAAACGAAAATGAGCACGTGCTACCATCTTTTAACTTTTCAAATACAGATAATATTTGGGTAGATTCTCATTGCTGTGTTTTGGGAAAACATAATCTTTTGCTACTAGAGAAATGAAACCCCAAAACCTAGAGTAAAGTGGTTTGAGTGGTTCTTTGGGGGTTTTTGTCTGTGTGTTGGACTTTTCTGTTTTACTGTTTTGTTGTGTGGGGGGTTTGTTTTGTTTGTTTGGGTTTTTTGTTGTTGTTTTTTTGTTGTCATTGGTTTTTGTGGTTTTTTTTAGAAAAAGTTTGCCACATGAAGTTGCACAACAGACTTAAAATCACTGTTACTTCATCTCAATACAAAATCAGGGTGTCATTCTTCCTTTTCCCCGGAAACAGAAATATGTGGTATTTAACTGAAAAAATGCTGACTCACACATGCTGATGAAGGTCCCCAAGAAGCACAAACAAACCTAAGAGGGAATATTGTAGTCCTATGCAAAGGGACTGCAAGAAGATACTAAGAGCCTGAACCCAACTGTCCAAAATAGCAAAATATAAATTTAACTGTCACCTTTTCCTATGGGAGTTGTGCTTTGGTTGAATAACAAAAATCACTGGGCTGATGCAAGAATTAAGTGAAATACTTTTTAAAAAAAGTCATATTAAAAGACTTACATGAATTTAAGGGAAAATTTAACCCTACATCCAAAGCATGTGCCATTAACGCCTCAATGTTTGAAAATATCTAGAGGCCAACTGTGTCGAGAATAAGCGGATCAAATGATAAAAGAGACACAGGAGCTGAACTGCACTTTTAAAGCAGGTGTGTTCCAGTTCAAGGCAAACCTCTGCATTACAGAGAGATCCCAAAAATAACAGCAAAGGTGTAATGATTTAGAAAACAGTCCTACAAAATATTTTTTTTTAAAGTCTTAGAAAAGAATCTTAAACCTGGTTTAAAAGATGCACTTCCTCTCAACACAAAGAGGGGATATGATACCAATCTGAAATTTACTATTTAGACCATCCAACCAAACCAGGGTAGAGTAGATGTAGACCTCTGTTTCTAATGAACCTATGAATGTAAAACAAGATCAGTTTTGGTGCTGTTCATAAAACTCTTCTTGCTACCACAAATATCACCATCCTCCTAGAAGTAAAATGTGTCTTCAGACCCATGAAGAAACAGTGTAAAAGGCAAACTGGCAGAAGTAGTGCTAGTGAAAAAGGTAAGTAGGCCTGTGTCCCAGACCAACTTGAAAGGGTAGGTTCCACATCAGATCCTATCCTGTAAGACAGAAAGAAAGGAAACAGTTCCCTTTAACCTATTTGGTTTATAAAAGGTTAAGGGGCTTCTTCTTCTCCTGCACAGGAAACCTTGAAAATCTTCCTCAGCTGGAAACTGAAGTGAGCTTAAGGCCCTGCCCAGAGCAGGAGGGTTGAAGTAAATGGTCTCTGAACATCCCTTCCAACCCAAACTATACTCTCTGATATGTCGAACACAGCATCTGTAATGTACCCTGCTCAGCCTAAGGTAGGTGAGGCAAACTCAAAGCAGGGCTAAGACTGGAACAATGCCCATTTCCTAATTCTGTGGATCTTTCATCCTTGCTCCCGGGCTTTTTACTTTCAAGAACTGTAGCAATGTTGTACATCTTTACTCCAGTAAATCACAAAAACCCAAAAAGAATAAAATCCCCAAATAATGCAGTTCCTTATTCAGCCCAAAGCATAAACAGCAGGAGCATTTCAAATCAGAGTCAGGAAAAAAAAAATTAATCCAATTTATTTAGTTAAATGGGCACCAAATGAAGACTAACATCCCCAAACTGGAAGGCACTAATTCAAGGACTGTGATTATACATAATGCAGGTTGACAGTTCCAAACTCTGTCCTTGAGAGCTGAACTAGCACAGCAACAAACTGGATAATTTTCTCTTCTTGCACCAGAGAAGTTAAGGCTTATAAATTACATTTATTATGTTTTACTGACAGGTACTTACTTCAGTGAAAGAGAATAGTCATGCTTGCTTGTTTGACTGTTTCTTACAAGGTAGCTACACTCTTTACATAAACGTAACAGGTTTTCTGCATCTGTCCGACTGATTGCTCCATGATACCATCTGGAAAAAAGCAAAGAGATTAATACACACACAAATATTCCCACTCATGGCGCTTTCACTACTTAATTTCTCTAGCTATGAACAGTCGTTAATATCACATGGATATCTTTAAGATCTAACGTACTATGGATAAAGATCATTATCTGGAAGTTATCATTACACCTTGTGGTGGCCTGTAGTTCCTGTCAGCTGAAGGGAAAAACTTAGATCAGGAGAGCATGCAGCAAGACGGGGGTACAGGTTTATGTAAGAAATTCCCACTCAGAGTAACACATTATATCAAGTGTCTTGTAAGCAGCACATCCACGATACACACATTTGCTCTATTTCATCCCAGTGACAGATCAGTTTTTAAACTAATGTACAAGATAACAAAAAGAAAACAAAAGCAAAAAAAAAAAAAAAAAAAAAAAAAAAAAAAAAAAAAAAAAAAAAAAAAAAAAAAAAAAAAAAAAAAAAAAAAAAAAAAAAAAACAAGTAGAAAATCGCACATGGAGAATACGAACAGTGGAAAAGACTTTGTAAAATAAATCTTTGAGGAAGGAGAAAAGTGATAAAATGTGAAAACTTATTACAAGGAGATGTTCTAAACACGGCTGCGGCAGCTCAGAGTGCTTTATGTAAATCCCTGGTGGATCTGTGTAGCCAGTGTGATCAATTCAGGAAAAAAAAAGGGAAATCAGCAGAGGAGACAAGTGTCCTTCATTAAACAGACCATTGCAAACAAAGAACCTCCTCAGCACACGCTGCTCTCTATCAGCTTTTAAAATCTCACCATCCACTGGTAAGTGCTTCAACCCTTCCCGTAAGTTTCCCAAGCAATGTTGTGTGTCTGGCCCTGTACTGTATCAATCACATCTCTGAGGAAGATCTCTCCCTTCCTGCAATTGCCAGATACACTCTGAAACACGATGTGACACTACCATGTCTTTTAAAGTACACATCAGAAGTGCTCTCTGTCTGTTCTAACCAGGAACTGGTGCTGGCTTTGTGTAAAAACATTTCTTTCATTTGTTCTGCTGCACTGACGCTAAGGCAGATGCTCCAGCTAAAAGCTAAGTGAATAAAGACCAGATAGATCCCTTTGACAGAAGTCATGCTCTTAACTACCTTATGCTGGTGTCAGCTTCATTTTCAAAGTTGATGAATGTGCTAAAAAAGAGTTGGGACTCAAAAAAATTCATTGTATGCTTGGTTACAACCAAAATCTGCACTAGAGAGAACTAAAAGGAGGTTATACTATTGTATATTCACGACAAACTAGTAAGGGAGGCCCTGAGTGCTTCATTACTTCATAAATAAAACAGAGACAGGCAAGGATTTCCTATTTCCCTTTAGATATTTACTGCTAAAAGATATTTGTCAACAAGCAATTTAAAGACTAGATTGTCTTCTGAGTGTGAGGGAATAATATTAACACAGGTGTGAATCAGAAAATGGATTTGAGGAAATTTAAAAGCTATTCCTACTAGCTAGAAATATATTTTCTTTCCTTTCTCCCCAAAGGGCCAAATAAAAATATTTTTTTATATTTTTATATTTATATCTCCCTTGCCAAATGATATTCAGAGGGAAGTATTTCTTACGTTCTTTGGATCTGGTGTTCCCCAGCTGTCAGAGAGGTTCATGGAAAAAGAACATAAGATTGGTTTCAGGAAGAAAAACCTGTTTTTAAGAGCTGGAAGTAAAACAGCAAAGTTTGAAGATCTTCTCTCATCAACAAGTGTTGATGAGAGAAGATCTGACTCATATCTGTTCAGATGGGATGCACGGAAACTGTTTTGGCTACAGCTGAGAGTAAACAGTAGTATCCAGTAATTGCTTGTGAGTCATATGCCCATGTAAATGGGACACTCAGATTGCTCCTGTTCCTGCTAGGTAGTGTGATAAACATAGTGCTGTACTGAGCTTTAAGTTCCTGAGTAACTTGCTGTTTCAACTGTATTAGGTCTGTTTGCCCTGGGTGTGCTTTTTTGTTGAATGTCAACACATAGGTCTTTGTGAGAAAAGGTCCTCATCCAAGGTCAGTGATGTGAGCTTAAAAAAGTGAAATGACAGCTTGTGAGAGACACCAATGCAAAAGCACAGGACAAACCCGCGTGTCTCCTAAGATAGCCTGAAAAACACAGGCACACAATGCAAACCTTAAAGCAGAATTCAAAAACAATCTATCACACACTTTGACCTTTATCAAGACCTCCTCCCAAGACTGTAAGTACCCTGATTATGGTTTACATAATGTTCTTCCTGATGTCCCTTACTTTGTCAATGATCAAGTTTCAGCCACCTAGGGGCCACAGCTCCGCTGCAGACATGACAGCAGCATCAATTACACCAGTAAGTATACTCAGTTATTACAGCTTATATAACGTACAACATGACTCTGTTTCTGAATTGGTCAGAGGAAAACAGGAAACCACCAGATCTTGATTATAAGGCTGGGAGGGATTCACTTTCAATAAGACAATGGAAACAGCAGAACACACTTTCTTCTTTACACTGTTATTGAGGAAATAGAACAAATTAATTTGATTCCCCTGGGTCCATGAACTATGAGCTAAGTTCATAGTTAATGATTTCTTAATCACAAGCAACTAAAAATATTTTCTTGACTATCCTAACACACCTTGGTATTTCTGCCTGTTTGGAGAAATTTCCTAACCTACCTATTCCACTTATTAACCTTTGTGCTTTCTTTCATCTAGATTGTGTACTCCTTTCTACAGAAACAGACTCCGTTTCTGTAGAGAACAAAGATGGAAGGGTTTGACATGTGCTGTGGAGACGCTTCACAGTACCAAAACTTGAGCAATGTGAATTATTATGAATAATCTATGGCACAATAAATCTAAATTCCTCCACTGTCTGACACATTATAGTTATAGTGCATTCATTTCAGGTTTGGTCCTGTATACTGAACAATCAAAAATAACCTCATGTCACTGACATTTGAATAATTTAAAGAAAAAAAACTAGCTCTGCAGTTTTTCAGTTGTTAATATCAATTGCAGTTATATGTAACTGCAACTATACTGAAAAAGAAAACTACACAACAATATATTCACGAGTCCAAAACTAGTTAACAGATACTCAACTTCCTGCAGTATTATAAATGTATTTGGGAGGCAAGCATGGTGAGCTGGAACTACCCAAGTCTGCAGACCAAATTTACAGTAAAATTTAAAGCCTTTTAATCATTTATTTACCTAACAGTATTTCACAATAATGGTTGCTACTTCCTCTGTTGGAGATAAGCACACAATTTGTCAATGAGCAGGTGGTTCAAAGGCTGAGGTTGATTAGAGGGAACATGACACTATGCAGATGATATTACTCTCTGTTTCAAGCTTAAGCTTCCAAATACTGCTTGTAAAAACAGAATGTCAAAGGAGAAGGAATTCTGGAACTACCTGGTCTCAGATACAATGAGAGGATTCTCTCCTACTGAGGATTTGAAGTGCAAAAGGATTGTTGATCCTCTTAATACCACCAGCTTTCAGGAACAAAGTATTCTCACAAAGCGCACACTCACATCCATGCCAAATTTTGCCCTCCCTCCCCTGTACAAATAAATTCTGCATCTAAGGTAGAATGATGGTTTCTGGAGTGGGCCTGCCTTCATGGATTCAAGACACAGCTTCCTTCTTTACTGCATGAATCCACTGGCTTTTCAGTGCCCTCAACTATCACTCTAACCTGGGAAAGTTACCACACAGGAAGATTTTTCTTTGTGTAGCAGGAATTCTGACCCCTTCTATGAGGCAGCACTTTTGGTATGACACAGGACAGTGAGTCATTCCAACATACGAGCCACTCTGTCCAAATCATTCAAGGAAGGGTAACAGGCAGGACAGGAGGCTACTTTTGGGGATACCAGACATTCACTCCACAGAATTATCTGAGAGCCTGATTTTGGAGCTGATAAAACTGTCTCTGAACACCACTCTTGAGTTTGACACTATCAAGGTAGAAATCAGTCTGTTTTCTGAAAGCTTTGTAAGTGGTCTTATCATTCTGTCCCTGAAAGAGTATCACAGCCAGATGCAAGGCACGTCTGATGTATTAGAAACATGTTATGAAGCCACAAAAATATGGAATTAATGCAGCTTTGAAGTAAACTTTGTATTATGTGATATACATTTTTTTTTTTTTTTTTGCAAATGCAATATGACCAACATGGTCAAAAGTGAAACACCTGCATATACTTGATAGACAAAATTCACCGTTCCCAACATGAGTTTCAACGTGTCCCCCACAAAAGTTACTTACATGTCCTTACACAGGATTAATAAAGAGTACAAGGGATACTGAGGAGGGCAGCTGGACAGCAGGATCTGGGCACTTTCTGCTCCTGTAAGTGGGGAGGCAAAGACCTAGAGAGCAATTACTGTGCTTACTTACATCTGCTTTTCCAGTTGAACAGCTGGATCTATTCTCTCTCCCAGGATCCCACAAAATTCTGGACTGCCATGTTTGATGGGTTTAAAGCCTCCTCCAGGTGCTCTTAATTGCCTGTGATGGTCATTTGAGGGAGAAGGAGATGCTTGCCGTTTCCCACTTCCATTAAATTGGGCTGCAAGATACACAACAGTTATCTCTCCACGCAAGGTTAAGAAGGACCAAAAGAGTTGTAGCACTTAGAGAGGTTTCACACCCCACTGAGAACAAACATACACCCACTAGCATTATGATGTACTGCTTTATCTACAGAGTTATATGTACTGTGCAAAGGTGTTTCTTACTATGCAAAGTAGTCCTAAAACTCTTTCTTTTCCAGTAACTAAAGACACACTCTTCCAAACCTTGTTATAATAACTAGTACTTATCTTAGCATTTGTTACTTTCATCCCCCAGAGACGATGCTCTTAAACAATTAACAGTAACAAGCTTTCAGTCACCTGCCATAATTCCAGTAACAAACAAGTGAGAACATCAAGAAATCCACCTTGCCTCAGTTTGTGTGGTATCATCCTAACAGTGCTCTGGGTGCAAATCCAGGCAGCTAACACCCATCAGAAATAATGTCAAGCAGCAAAGAATTAACAGTGTATCCACTTATACAACACTGGCACAATGCTTTTGTCTTTAAACACCGTGAAACAAAGAGATGAAAACAGAAAACAGCCTTTGCTAGTTTCTCTCACTAACTATACTATTCCAAGAAAATCAGTATGACTTATTTTGCAAAGCTATAATTTATTAGAGCACTGCAACATCTCTAGCAAAGCACATAATAATGATGTATCCCCATTCTACACTTACAGATTCCACATATCTGTAATTTAAAAATAATTAAAGGATAGAACGTTGACAGAAAGAGTGAAAGAAGCTACCTTAACCACATTCCCGACTCTCATTGCCTTCTATGGTTTGCTGCTTCATCAAAAATTAAACATTTCCACCCTGCAGATGACTTTACTTCAAGGTCATCCAGTGGGCACCAGGCAGAAAAAGCTTCACTGTATCAGGAGGTAAATCCTGCACATCACAATGTGCACCAGCACAATCAGCTCAATCAGCTCCTCTGTGAGCTTCAACAGCAATGTGAGAAAAAATGTTGCAAGGAAAACTGAAAGGACCCCCTACAAAGTTAGACCCCCTACATTTAGAACTGAGCTTAGTATAACACACAGCCAATTAGGCATGTGGTTGGTAGTACTTAGTGTTTTAAAGCAATCTATATAGCAGGAAGACGGCTGTAATGTTCAAGTTCAAAAATATAATGCACAGAAGAAACATGTTGGACATGGAAAGTGTTTTGGAGCTTTATATATATATATATATGCTTTCGTCGTGGGACTTAGGACAATTCCAAATTTATCCTCTATTGAGACAAAGTAGGCACAAATTTTTGCCAAAACTGGGCAAAGGTATTCAATCACATTCTTAAGTAAGCATGGCAGTAATATGCTGGTTCTTTCTTAAAATATAAACTCAGATTTAACCTCATTACTGGGTAATGAAAGCTAATTAGCATAAGAAGAAGAAACACTGCATGTGTATACTTGCCCGTGCCATGTATGAACAGTATTATTATTTCAACTGTAAGAAAAACAGTGTAATCAGGAGACTCTCTGAAAATTTAATGTCAGCTTCTGACTAAGCAGCAACTTTCAGGAACTAAAAAATTAAGTTCACAAAACACACATGGAACTGAGTTCTGACTGTGAACAGCAGTATCTTTACAACATAGAATCACAGAACAGCTTGGACTGGATGTGACAATAAAGACTATCTAGTTCCATCCCCTTCATGGCAGGAAGATGTCACCTTAGGCTGTGATTCCACCCACTAGACCAGGTTGCTCAGAATCCCATCCAACCTGGCCTTGAACACTTCTGGGGATGAGGCACACACAGCTTCTCTGGGCAACCTGTTCCAGTGCCTCACCACCCTCTCAGTAAAGAATTTCTTCCTAACATCTACTCTAAATCTCTTCTCCTAGTTTGAGACCATTTCCCCTTGTTTTATCTGCCTGTGTAAAAAGTAACTAACATGATGGTTAAAGGTAGGATCTATTCTCCAAAAATAGCAAAACGTTAAATTTCAGATATTTCTTAATGTTTGGGGGTTTTTCCTGTCTGAAAAGCTAACATGTCTCTGGACTCCTGCCCCCCCCTTTTTTTTTTTTTCCTGTGAATTAATTTGTCAGGAAGAAGCAGTCTTGAAGGGATAACCAGGCAGATTAAGCTGACAAATATGATACAATGTCGTTATCAGGTCTGAGTTTTGGCTGCCATAAACCTCCTCTTAAAAGCTACTGTATATACAATGGAGGTTCAGAAGCCTAATTCCATGGAACTGGCAGTGTAGTTTTTCATTGCTAGAGTAATTCTGTTTATCACAGACATTTTAGTTAGAGAATACCTGCATATCTGACACTTCCTTGCTCTCTATGTGGCTTCTCTTTCACTGCCCCGTGTCTGGTGCCATACCCCAGGGGTGGTGGCATGCCAGAACTCCCTTGCTTCAAGCCCCTCAACTTTAGTAGCCAGCAGAAGGAGACCAAGTCTGGCATTTACAGATTCTCCTTCCAGAAGTCCATGATCAGTGCTGGAAACTAGAAAGTACTACCAAATAGCACAGGCCCATATATTTTTTAAGGCAGATGGCCTTTACAGACATCACATGCATTTTGTTTACCCAGAGGTTTGCTATCCCCCTCACAGCAGTCCAAGAAGGCCAGTCTTCCCCTAAACTCAAATGGAAGCCAGTGTCAGACTGATATTTCCAAATGGGCTCTTAGGTGCCCAAGCTACTGTCCATCTAGCCCCCAGGGTCTCCCTGGTGTTAGTTATCTCCTTTTCTAGCCAGACTTGTGCACCTGAAAGCTACTTTTTGTTCCTTTTACTTTGCCAACCTCAACTCTCCTGGGCAAACCAGTCTGCCCAGCTCAGCAGGAGTTCTAACAAGACCTGCCCACTTCCCAGACGAGCCATCAAAAACACAGCTTCGGCTGTACAGCCTCCAGTAAAACAAAATTAAACCTGTTTCTGAGGGAACTCAGGCTGCAGACAGTCAAAATGTCGCATTCCAGCCCTGCTACACAGAAACACAACTTTCAGCACTTCAGAAGTCCCTGGGCTACACGTGGCTTGCTCCATCCACAGTGTCAGTATGACACCAGCTCCATGCTTAGGAGTCAAGGCACAGATATACTCCCCTCAACCTGAGCAGATTTCACAGCTTGTGAACACTTTCATTCTACTTTTCAGCTACAGGTTAGAGACAAAGAGGTTTTACCTATGCTTCAGCAATTAATCCTGAAATCATGGCAGAGGAACAAATGTTTTCCTTAAAAGACTTGCATGAGTAATTAACTTCATGATAAGTCTAGCGTTGCTTGCCACTTCGGTTTGTTTCTGAGATCCACCACCCAACAAATCAAAAACATGTGATGCACAAATCTGTCTGCACTTCACATCACAAATACCTGCTTTTCCCTTCAGATGAACGTCTCAAAATTGAAAATTTTTAGCAGAGGGTACCTTCAGGACCTCCACAACTCCAGCTAGTTAGGGGGGTGGTAGTTGTGAGCCTGTAAAGTGAGACTTGCCCACTACCAGAATTCATAATACCACTTAGACCAACATTGTGCTTTTCAGAGAAATCCACCTCAACTAAGCACTAAAAAAAGCCCCACCTGGTCTAGGTACATTAACTAGCTACGTTATAGAACCACAGAATAAATCAGAAGAGCACTTCATACATCTCAGCAGCAGGTCAATACTTCTCCATTGAAAACTTTCCAGTATTTCAAACTCAGAAGTTGGACCTTCTCTTTCCTTATTTTAGACATCTATAACATTAGACACCAGATGAAACAGCAGCTTGAAACTATGCTTGCAGTCAATTCTTACACACTCCATTGTAACAAATAACCAGGTACCTAAAATAAACTAAGTTATAATGAATGGCTGATGCAATTAAAGAAATCTAATTTATCTCAAAAATTGTTTGCTATTTTTATTTTAAATAAAAATGCTACATGCTGAACCAATAAGGAATCCAACCATATCATGATATTTTAGTCTATTACTTTTGTAAAGCAGTATTTTGTTCCATGTGCTCTCATAAGAGTTAACTACATAATACTTAGAAGAATATTTACACACAGACCAATCATAAAATCTCATATTGGATTGACCTCATTAATTTAGTTACATGTTCACAAACTGAAAAGTAAATATACAAAAAATTCACAAAACTAAGATTTTTTTAAAAAAAACCCCAACAACTAAAAAAACCCTATTTAAGAATTTACCTGTTGAAGACCAAAAAAGTGGGCATGAAGGTGAATACAGAGCTTAAGACTTAAGATCCAAATGAATTAAAAATTATCCATTTCATATGATATGAACAACACAGGAAGAATAATGGCTAAGATTTGCAAATGCACACATAAGACTATTTAAGAAAATAATTTCTAAAACTAATAATCCCATTTCTGTGGCTGCTGTATTACTAAGTGAAAAATCTGTGAAGTGCGATCTTACTGGAGATAGACACGTACTGGTCCCACAGTTTGTATCTCAAGTGTTCTTAAGGTATGAAGTTGCTGCGTTTTGAAAGAAAAATTACTTGTAGGTAGGAAACAATCACTGTTTTTGTGTGGGAAGCTCAGAGTCACTCACTCTCCTGTCAGGATACGGAGGCTGCATGTATGCTCTAGGCAAAGACAGTATTGTTGTCATCACAGGGACACATGAAAAGGCACAGAAACATCTACTGAATGCCACAGCATGAACCCAAAGCACAGGGCTTTACACACACCAGACTGGTATTCAGCACCTGCAAGACAGCCACTGTGGCACTGGAAACCTAGTGATCTCTGTTGATTAGCCTATCTTGATATACAACAGATATCCCAAATTACAGCCAGGATCTCACAGCCAGGAAGTCTCCCAGCACAAGCCCTGCAAGCGTTTTAATTGGTCCAGCAAATGGGATGAGTCAGCTCAGGCAAGCCTAAACCAAAGCCTATTTCCACCAGGCAGACCTCAGGAGCAGAACTGCAAGCCACATGAGCAGGTTAGACTATTGTGCTGGAGTTCATGCTCTTTAGAGAAAGAGACTACTTTACCTGTACAGCATCCAGCAAAATTGGATGCTGCTTTAGATCCAGGTTCAAAAGATCTATTAGCATATGTTTAATGAGAAAGTCACTGAGCCTGTAACTCCACAAGATTATTATCAGCTCACATGCCAGAGCAGACCATGTTGTTAGGAAGCATAAATCAGTTTTCTTTGACCTCTTCTGTTCCATAGGAGCCCAACAAGAGCAAAGGGGATGCTGAGCAAGAGGTTTCTTTTTAAGCAGTTTGTTCAGTTTCATCTATGTGTCTTTTGTTCCCACCCACATTTCACAGGATGGATATTGCAGACATCAACTTGGCTTGGAAACAAACACAAATCAACCACAACCTAGAAATGTAAGACGAAACGAGGAAGAGAGGCAGAATCACTCTCACAACAATAGGCCATTGCTCTACCCCACTGTGCTAGAAGAGAAACATATTTCTGCCGACCATATCCACCTACCTATAAGGGAATCAGGTCAGAAACATCCAAGAAGGATACTGTCACAACAGGCTCTGTTTACAGAATGCTAGCCCTGTATAGCTGTGGAGAGAAGTCACTTCCCACTTCCGTAATATAGCAACATCTTGGCACACAGAATTGCAAAATCACAGATAATTCAGGTGGCAGAGTCTGCTATGTGATCAGATCAGGTTGGTTATCCAATCACTGCTTCACACAGGATGAAAAAATCTGAAGATGGAGATTGCAAGAGCTCCTTGGACAATTGGTTCTAATGCTTAACTGTTCTTGCAGAGAAAAATATTTCCTGTATTGAGTCAGAACCTCTCCTGATTCATCTTATGTCTCATCTTCCCATCATACACCTGTGAAGAAACTGGCTCCATCTTCTTGAGGATCTCCTCATAGGCACTGGAAAGTTCCCATTATGTCTCACCCAAAGTTTTCTCTTCTTCAGGCCAAACAGGCCCAGTTATCTCAGCATCTCCTTACACATGCTGTCATGTGCCGCAGTTTCTTGTCATTTTGGTTGCTCTCTGCTGACAACAACATTTATCAGCATCCTTCTAGTATCAGAATACTGGTCACAGCATTACACACTGTCCAAGAAGTGTGAATTAAAGAGGAACAGTCACTTCGCTTGATCGACTGGCTTGCTCCTGTTCACTTCAAGCCTTCGCCACTGGTGAGGAGCACACATTTAGCCCACTTTCCCTCAGGACTTCTTGAGCACCTTTCAGCAAAGCTGTACTCCAGCAAATCAGCCAGTTCTAGGTCCATATCACTGCAAGGGGTTAGTCTATTCCAGATGCAAGTCTTTCCGTTCGTTCTGGTTGGATTTTGTAAGTTTGTTGTCAGCCTATTTCTGCAGCCTGCTCAGGTCCCTCTGAATGGCAGCTCTGCACACCCACACCCTCCCCCTCCCTTGGCCATTATTCCAAACTTCATAAGGGGCATTTCCTCTTTCTGCTCTGGGTTACTGATAAGTATGCTAAACAGGAAGGGTTCCAGAACATATCCTCTGAGGAATCACACTTGTAACCAAACTCCAGGAAGAGTATGAATCACCAAGCACTGCCCTTTGAGGTCAATGACCCTAATCAGTTTTCACAAATCTATTCCTTCACAGAGCCTGACCTCTTTTCTTCCCTCCTCATCCCCAACACTATCATCACACTGTCCTTTTGAGAACTGCTCCACAATTTCAGGACCTTGCAAGGCAATTTCCTTATCACAGAGCCACTGAACAATAAACACTATCTACACATCACATCCATTAAAATGGGAGTAGGGACAAGGAGTGAGAGAATCAAAAGTTTTGGTAACACGAACCAAGTGCTAAGATGATGGAAAACAGGTTAGTTGAAGCACCAAAGTGCAATGTTCTATATTTGTGCAGCAGGTAAAGACCTGAGAGTACCCACACCTGCCTTTCAGACATTTCTTCACACACGAACACATACATACACATATGTCAAAAAGAGCTTGCATAAAGTACTTGATTTCTCCCAAAGGCAAGTATATACGCTGTACGTGTGAGGGAGAATTTTGTGGCTGGGATCTAGGAAATCCTACCTGCCAAAGCTGGGATGGTGACTTTGTTCCACTCCCATGGCTGATCATACTCATCTGCAGGCCTGTCGTCATCCTGTGGCAATTTGCTTTCTCGTAAACGGTGACTCACCACACTTTCAGAATCAGATTCCACACCGCTGCCTTCTGGTTCATAGGGCGTGTCATAGAGCTGCATGTTTTTCTGATGGGACTTCATGCCTTCCTGCTGTTGAAACTCTGTTGGCAAGAAGGAAAATTGCATCAGAATCACTACTAACTATGTCTTATCATTATAGTCTATAATTTTAGAGCGCTCAACTTCCACCCATTTCTTAACAGCCACATAATTATAGAGATGACAAGCTTGTACAAGACTTCTAAATTCTACCTCTACATTGGTAACTGGCTGGAAGCAAAAGTTTGCTCCAGCTAACAACCACAGCACAGTCTCATGCCTCCAACAACATTTCCCAGCTTGTCCAGAGCAAGACTGCAGGAAGCACACAAACCCTGTCAGCCTGTATAAAGCACACTTAGAGGCAACTGTACATAAAGTCTCAAGAACACTAAAGTTTGTGTAAAGAGATTGTTCTGAAGTGCAAATTGATGCTAAAAAGATCATAAAAAAATAAATCTCACAGTATAATTACATGCTGATAAAAAAAAAATTGTCTGCATTTATGCCTACAGAGTATCAGCAAAAAATTAACTAGGACTAGAGTAAGGACAACAGGCAAAAGCATTGGTAACTAGTGCTCAGCTCACATTAAGGGGGATTTAACAGCAGCTCTCAGCTGACTGAAAAGCAGCCAGAACCAAACTCTTCTAGGGCAGAGTCAGAAGGTGCAATAAGGAGAAACATACGTAAAATGTAGCTCAAGAATTCCAAGTGGTATGTTGCGGGAACCTTCTTCCCCTGGTGTGTAGTGCAGCCCCTGCAGGGCACCAGGTGGGTCTGGTGCACTGATACAGAGCTGGGTGGAGTGGGTGACAGGCCAGATGGCTATGCTGCCATTCCAAGGGACCTGGAGACTCTGGAAAACTGCAGGGTAACAGGCTGTAAAGCTGCTCAGCAGAGAAGGACATCAGTGTCCCGTACGACAGCAGGCTGAACATGAGCCAGCAATGCACCCTCAGGGTAAAGAGGCACAGTGCTAACCTGGGGTACATTAGGAATTTCGAAAGCAGATCAAGGGATGTGATTCTTCACCTCTATTTAGCACTGGTAAGGCCACAGCTGGACTGCTGTGTCCATTTCTCATGTCCCCCACAGAAGAAAGACACAGAAAGACTGCAGCAAATTTCAGCAAAAGGCCATGAAGTTTGATAATGGGAATGGAACACTTCTCATACGAGGAAAGGCTGAGAGACCTGAGACTTGTTATCCAGGAGAAAGTAAGTTTTAGTGGGGATATTATCAATGCACATGAACACCCGATGGAAGAAAGTGAAGATGGAGACACACTTTTATTGGCAGAGCCCAGTGACAGGACAAGATGCAATAAGCCACTATCAAAATACATGCAATTTCATCTGAACACAAGAAAACATGTTTTTACTGTGATAATGGTCAAACATTGAAACAGGTTGCCTGGAGAAGCTGTGAAGTCTCTACTTGTGGAAATAATCAATATATGACTGGACACAAATGTGGGCAACCTACTCTAGCTGTCCCTGCTTGAAGAGGCTTTTTTGTTAGATGATATTAAGAGGTCCCTTCCGACCT